ATAAATTTAGGTCATCGACTTCCAATTGTTGCTTAAAAATGTCTTTACAGCGTCGTCGTCTTTATCCAACATCGTTATAATTCATGCCAAGGTAAGGTTAAGTATCTAAGGTTTAAATTCATGTGACAAAATTACCGTGGATTTCCACTGCTCCAACATATCTGTAAAACTATATCGTCATCTCTCTCATTCGTACAGAAAAAAAAACAGCGATAGCAAATGTGGTAATAAATTAGTGTTGTGCAACATTACAGAAATTGTAGACTTCCCTTTTGTGTCAGTCATATAGTTATAGTAATCCTTAAGGTGAAGGAAAATATTGTGATGCAACCTGGTCATATGTGAGAAGAAATATAAAGACTTTACAGTCAACCAATCTGCGTTGGGCTTGCGTGGCTACAGCCTATTCAAATGATGTCTATGATTTTTATGTCAAGTGAAGTGTTTTAATATCATTGTAGAAATGTTGTAGCAGGAATGATGTTATTCGTAAAATATCGTATAAAATCTCTAATTGCTTCTCTTAAATACTGCTTTGTAGTCATTCCTCATCTTTTGTTGTAACCCTTTGTTAGATTTATAATAACACAAAGATTGTTTAAGATCATATACAAATCGTAATCTCTAATTGTCTGGAAGTTGGAAGTGAACAAAACTAAAACATCTATTTTCCCATAATGACTCACTTTACATGCTTTCGGTAAGTCTAAATCATAACATTAGCAACATAAATATATTTTAAATATACAATAACCCATATTGTGTTGCTTGGTTCATCTTAAAGATGACATACACGGAATGCAATGGGAGATCTTTAAGCAGTTAAACAGTTGACGTTTGTAATAAACTAAACGCAGATCTCCTACCCGCTAGATTCTAATAGCTTAGTATGCAAGCAGTCCGTGTATGCCGTTACCACGAACAAAACTAAGACTTGAATTAATATTATATTACTAGCGACTCCGTCGGCGCGGAATTAAAAAAAAACTTAATAGGAAGCCTATGTGTTCCAGACCATAGTCTGGAACGTGTATGTGTTTGTCAAATTACGTTAAAATCCGTTGAGTGGTTCCGGAGTTATCTTCAAACAAACAACCGTTCATCCATCCATCCATCCATCTAAACATTCGCGATTATAATATTAGTAAGAAGTAAGATTGCTACAACCATTTTACCCAATCATTTAAAGTTTGCAATTCTGATTATCATTACCGGTCTGTTAGTGAAAGTACAGACACAATTCTTCCAATACTAAACATTTCTAATTTTCATTTATCCATAATCTGAGTTTTTATACTATCCTAGATTAAAGAGTTTATTACGTAACTAGCTGTTTCCCGCGACTCCGTCCACGTGGAACTACTAAACACATGATCAGTACTAGTTCTAGACTATGTTCTATTTATATGCTAAATTTCCTCGAGATCCGTTCAACCATTTCGAAGATACCTTCAAACAAACATTCATCCATCCAAACATTCGCATTTATAATATTAGTAAGATTTATAAAAGAAACGATCAAGCTAAAATTTATCTTTTCAAATTACTCCATCGTCTTCAATAGAGAGATTGTTATCAATAAGAGTAATGAATTCCGTCTGATGAGTTAGGTGCCAGAGGTCATATTCTAGTCATTTCCCTACTTCGAGTGGATGCTGAATTTTTTTGTTTATATCATAAGGTGGCAAACGACCGAGCGGTCACCTGAAATCACTGAAATAGCGACGTGACCGTTATATACCGACCATACGCAATTGCATATGCGTTTGCCTACCTTTAATCTACGGAGGAGAGGATGCACAGAAAGAAAATATTTGAATTGGTAGAAAGGTATAGTAAAGATGCCTATTTCTACACGACCCGACCTTTGTTCAGTTCATTAAAAATAGGCTATTCCTATAACACTTTATTTTAGTATGACCAATGGTGGATGATAACTCGTTTGCCGCTTTCTAATATGTAAAAAAGTCTAACATTTGTCGATCGAATCGATGAATTTCAAAAGTAAACGACAAACACTAACTTATATTTTATTTTGAACTTAAATAAGTATGTATTTTATAGTTATTTCAACGACACAAAATAGTCACAAAATGATGGATAAATAAAATTTAGGGATCGCTAGGCAATGTTTTTAAAAACGAAATCAAAGAATGCCTTATTGCCAAACTTTTAATCACATGGTAAACAAGGGTCTCTATCGTAAGACTTAACCGGCTATTAACTTTCATACTTACTCCTCACTTAGGAGCTGAGTAATTGCTCACTAGTGTAGCATGCAGTGCGACAGTAATGATATGATTATTTATGTATTTTTAAATACGAGTAATACCAATTAAAAGCTCCATATGGATATTTAAGAAAAATATTTAATATTATCCTTAAAAGCTCACCTGTGAAGCAATACTCCTGAACTTGCTCACTGCAGGACTCATTTGTTCCATTTGCACTTTTATCACCATTTTGATTAATTTAATTTAATTATTAATTAATTAATTATCTCATTAAACTTTCTATTTTAAATTAATTTAATTTCTCAAATTAAAATTAATTAATTCAAATTAATTGCAAATACTCAATGCACGTTTTAATTTTAATTTTATTTCTTTTTCTTTTCAATTTTTTTTATTATTTAATAGGACATGCGCCTGCGTCGGTCAGACGAAGTTTAATGAATGTGTCTGAAAAGACGACGACACACAGCGTCCTTTGTATTTTGAAATATTACGAATGCTCTTAAACATTATGAGGTGTAAAAATATATCTAAATATCTGTCTGTTCGTTCGCATACGTGACCTTGGGTTATACAAAAGAATCAAGTTAAAGAGATATCTATGTTAAGCAAATTGATCTTGAAAAGATTTATCTTTATTATTTATATTGTAATGATATTTTAAGGAAATCCAGACGTGTTTGTATTAAGATAAAATATATTTTAACTTTAATTTTCCCTATGTTTCAAAGTCATCTTAAATTTAAAGTCGCATACGAATATTTGCGATATCCGTTTTCGTAATATCATCTAACATTTTTATAAAATTTGTAGTTGGTAGCGTAAGGTAAGCCCGATAGGGGGCGCTGTACAAATCTAATACAAATTTTGTCGATGACGCTACGAAAACTGGCTCGCAAATCGTGCTAGGCCCCGTTAGATGTTGGAGTAATTATGTGTTTTTGATGAGAATTATTTGTCATGTCATGTTTAAAAAATGACATCATTATCCTTAAACGTAATTATCTATAATTAATTTTTGTTCGTTAATATGATTTTTTTATTTCTATGCTAGGTAAGTAAGTGGAAAAGTTGAATATATAGCCGAGTATAATTTTTCTGATTTTTTCATTACAATGATAGTTGTCCAAAGTAAAAAAAAGTTCGAATCTTGGTTTAATTAAATACGAAAATAAAATATGTTTAACTTCCCAACGCATAGCAACAAAATGTAAGATTTAAATGCAATTTAATATAGATAAGTTTTATACCAGTTAGAACTAGATTTTTCGCGCAAATCTAGTTTTAATCTTAACTTATCAGTTAATGAATACGTGACAGACACTAAACAGAAATCACGTTTACAATGTAGGACACATCCGTACGTGATAACGAAATAATAGCTTAGGTTGAGAAAGACTTTCTATTTTGACTATAATGTGTGTGTTTTCAAAACATGTTGCAAAAGTAAAATGATTAAAAAAGATTTACGGTTTGAACAGACAATATGTAAAAAGTATCTCTCTTGTACAATAAATCAACCTTCCTTTGATGTCCTTTTTTAATTTTAAATAGAAGGAAGGACGGATTACGAGAAACCCTACACTTTTTTCACTATTTTCCCCTGTATTCACTGTGGTTATGCTATTGATCCGAGCCAGTGGGCTATTACTGCAGCATCTAAAGCTGATACGGACTCTGCATGCTAATAGTTCTATATTTTGAGAGTTAGAGGTAATAGTTTTGATTCTATTCCTCTCTTCTTTACTGTCTACTTCCAGAGTATGTCTAAGCGTTTTCTTTTGTTAGCAAAATAAACTTTTATTACAATAACTAGCAAATAATCGATGTCTCATAGCTATGTTATAATAGTATAGTGTCTTAATTTCGTTGGCCTTCACTAAATTATTTCATTCTGTTCTGACTAAACTAAAACTCTACCGCTATTTAAGTTGTAATTCGTCTCAATATATAACAAATGACGAACATTACTGTGGATTTCCATTGTGGAATAACTTGTATAAAACATATTGTCATCCCTTTCATACCTATTGAAGAAAATAGAGCCAACATCATGTTCTATCGATAATAGAATTTCACGGTTATTCAAAATTTTAAAGGAAACCTTTTAACAGCTGTCTTAAATGTTGCGTGAAATCATAAGTCTTGCTATGTACGGTGAAAAGCAACAAAGACTGTAGCGAAGTGTTTAGGTTTTGTTTCTATACCAATACTTGGTCGTTTACCTCACTGTTAATAGCAATTAATAATACAAGGGCGGGAAATATCGTATTTCAAACGATTTTCACACTAATTACTATAGTAGTAAGAACTATTTTTCTTAAGGTCTGAAGTGATTATGAAGTATTAATTTTTTAAATTTATACTTTTAATTCTCTTTTCTTTAATACTTTCAGTGCCGATTGACCTCGCGAATTTACTTTCAAACCGGTAAGTGGTAGCATGGAATGTGTTAAAAATTGCTATAAAATCTTTGTCACGGTATCGGTTGGATACTAATTATAATACAGAACACAGAACTAAATCTATGTTTATTATTTTTTTATCTATTCAGGATTGTAGGGTTTTTATTTTATCGACCCATTTATTGTTTTCTCAATAGCTTAAATGATATCATTCATTCATCAAAATTAAGAAGAATTGGAGAAGAATATATTGTTTAAAATATTACTGCATATTTCATTTCATCTTTTGTGAATGTTACTTCGTTACATTTTACATTGAAATCAATATTTTTATGTATTGCGAAACATTGATAAGGTACTTTTGGTTACGATTGTTTCATAGCTTTTGTGGAATACAAATAAAATGTATTAGAAATAATCTAATAACAATGTTTTTAGTTTTTCTTCTTAGTAAGCATATTTATTGAATTTAGTGTAGTAATGCCAAGGAAAATAAATGCTAAGACAAAATTTCTTTATTTTCAGTGATTGCGTTTGTTTCATGGTCGGAACAACATTTGGCGTTTGTAAGTAATTTTTCTTTAATATTTTTGCAATGATACTTTGATTAACAAATACTCTATTTACATGCACTCTTTGATCTTTTCTTTTCTCTCTTCCTTCTTTTTTAGAAAAACACTGTATTTTGAACCATTGTCAGTTTTTTGTTAGATTATTGATAGTTAAAAGTTAGCTGGCATTTCGATTAGATTAAAATCGAAAATCGGAGACATTATTTATATATCATTTAGTAATGTGGCATTTCAACCTTTTAAAATGTTTTGAAAAAGAAGTACAATATAATTAGAATAGTTGTATTTTTTACAGCGTGATACAATAATGAAGTCTAAAACATACTATTTCGAGAATTATATGCGAGCAACAATGACGCCAGGATTTTATTATCCATATTCGGTAATACTTTTAATGATTAAAATTATCATTGCTATTTGTTGCCGCTTTACTTCATATTTTGTTACAAAGCCAGCTAAAAGATAGTTTAATTAAAAATAAAAAATAACTAAGTAAAATTAGGGACATCCTTCACCTTCTTTCCATTTCCATTCTTTCTTACTTCTTTCGTGTAAAAAGATTTAACATAAGTATTACATGAAAAAGCCAGTTTTGGCATTTCCGGCGCCCTGGATGAGATATTTGCGGCCACCCTCTTTTTCTTATTTGTGTCGGGTCTTCTTCTAATCTTCCAAAAATAGGGTACCATAGGTGTGAGACAGGTGCCCCTTTATATACGAATCGTGCCTGCGTACCCTTTTGCCTGGAGCGTTGAGCGGACACCCACTTCGCCCTAACGGCGCTAATGAACATACATCACGAGTTCAACTACATAAACTGAGTCTCTGAGAACTCACCACGTGTAATCCACATTTGTTTGACTCCATAATTATGTTTGTATTAGCCGATCAATTACTGCAGTCTGTCGATGGCGTGTGTTCACGACTCCAGGTCTGTTTGCGCAACATCTCCTGATGGCTGCAGTCGCCGCAAGTTCCTAGACCAATGTGACATGTTCGAGTACAATTGTGACTATAACGCACGTATGTACTAATAAGGATTTATGTTTAAATGTTTTATATAAGGTCAAACCGTTTTTATATAATATCCTACATAACTAATGCAGGAATATTTGTTGAAAATTAATTAATATTAACTACTAAATTTTCTTAAAAGTCAAACTTACTCGAATTTGCTATTATTTTCTATCAGGCGTTATTGTTTAGTCAAGTATTTTAAGTATAAGTATCTATGTTTATCGTAATATTTCATGAGCTGACGGATACTTCTTACAAATATTATTAAAAAGTCACCTAAAGAGAAAATTTAAGTCAAAAAGGTAAAACATTAAGATTTTTACTACACAAAATCAGGCAAAATTCCTATAACAACCTGTTGTAGAATTATCGATGGAACCAATACTAGTATTAAAAAAAATCTTTAAGATTAACAAATTATTTTTCAGACTTTTCAACCGCAGTCACGACACAATGCCCACATAGTATGGTTGATTTCGCTTGTTAAAAACCAATAAATTAATTTAAAAATAAATAAACTAGAATTATTCATCGGGAACTCTCAATTCCTGTCTCTGCTGCAATATTATACGATAATTAGGATTTTTTAGTCTTATTAACAGTGAGCTGATGATGATAATGAGTCTTATTAAAATAGTATTTGCGGAAATAGCAAGTTATTTAAATATATACTTTAATTTATTCCTCCTAAGTATTGTGACAGGCAGGTGGTCGGCCGTAAAAATTAAGTCAAATCATTAAAGTTTATAAAACCTTGTGCGCTGACCCCGCATGACTGGAATAAGGCCAAGGAGATGATGAAGATGATGTTATTGATTAAGTCTAAACAAAAAGCTATAGGATGTTATTGTTAGTACACCTTTCTTGTTTATACACAAATCTACAACAAATTCGTGGATTACTCATAAATATTACGGACCGATTATATTGGGATTTCTCTTTGTTATGCTAAAATAATATGTAGAAACATCAAGAAGAAATCAATGAAATTGATCTTAGTGGCACAAATGCATGCGAAAAAGAATTAAGCTAAGATAAATGTAAAAGGCAAACTAAGATAAACCTTTTGAATGGATTGATATTGAAGACTGAGAAGCTAATATAATTTCTGTTAAGATTGAAATAATTTTTCCAGATTACGAAATGGTTGAATGTGAAAGTCCAAACAATTTGGAAAACATGGGATCTTGTACTAAAGAAGCTTCTAAGCTACATGCAACTGAGAAGAATGATTACTTTTATTCTATTTATAAAGTTAAAGATACATACGTCGAAAACGATTTGAACGTAACATCTGAAGCACCTTCTAAAGTAGAAATATTGAAAGAATTTACTTCAGTTGAAATACAAGAAAGCCCAACAAAAGAACGTTCCTGTAAAACTAATTGTAAAAGACCACGATCATGGGCCACAACTGTCAAAGGTGAAACGAGAGATTTCTTTCGAATTTTGCAAACTAGTGAAGAGACAAATAAAAATGTTTAATTTATATGAAAATTTAACTACAATCTAATTGTTATGATGAAGCAGTTCACCAGCAACCAGCAGTAAAAACATCTATTTTTACAAATGGGCCGATTCGTCCTGTGAAATACCACGACCACAAGACAGGAGTAAACCGAAAGAAATTCTATATAGGAAGTTGACATATTTTGTACACCTCCTCCTCCGTCAATTAGAGGTAGGCAACGCATCTACAATTTTAGTTGTCTATGGGCAGCGGTCGTTTTGCTTTTTGGCGATGTCAGGTGGCCGTAAAATTATTTATTTATATTTTGTGGAGGATCTTGGAGTAATTATTATTGCTTATTTTTAAACTGTTGCTTGCGTTATAATAAATAGGCTACTTGTGATAATAATAATTCACCCTCGTCGTGAAATGAAAACAATATTTAATAACATTTATTTTTATTATTATATCTTACATATACTAAGTCTTTATAAGTACATTGAATTTTATATAATGTCAAACATTGTCTTAGAAAAAATAACAATAATGATATTATTAAGGCAGTAACAATTTGAGCATTTTATTTGTCTCACAATGAGTAAAAGTTTACTTAGTAATATTATAATTAACAAATACTACATATGTTATATTTAATTGACTAGCATAGGTTTAACCACATCGATATTAGTAGGATTCTTCTTTCTAAATGCATTTATGAGACAGTCGTTTGCAAATATTTTTTGATTTCCTTTATAATACGCTTCGATTTCCGCTAATGATTTGTTTTCCGTTTCCGGTAAATATAAATATAAATACATTGTTCCTATAAATGTAATAATGGCGTAGATAGCGAATGTACCACTAATATGGAAACTAGCTTCTAGGTTATAATTGGTCTTTGTCGCGAGAAACACTATGACGTAGTTAAATGCAGCTGCCAATCCAGTCGCCATACCTCGACTTCTGTAAAGTTAATTGTTATCTAAATAAATTAATTCATTTCGATAGACAAAGGTTAAGAGTGAAAGCATATCAGTTTTGAATTGTACATTAAAGGGTTAAAAGTTATTATTCCGACTTTAACAGTATTTATATAATTTAAGAAAATAATAATTTATTTAATACACGCAACTACGTCCGCTCGGAATTTTAAAAAAAAAAAAGCAGCCCACGTGTTCTTCCAGACTGTGTTCTACATCTATACTCAATTTCGGCGAGATCGATGCAGTCGTTCTAGAGATATATTCAAATAAACATCCATCTATCTAAACATTCGCGTTTATAATATTAGTAACACTAGCTCTCGCCCGCGACTCCGTCTTCGCGGAATTAAAATAAACTTATTTAGTAGCCTATGTGTTCTTTCAGACTATGTTCTACATCTATGTTAAATTTCAACATGATCTATGCTGCTGGAGATACCTTCAAACAACCATCCATCTATCTAAACAATCGCATTTATAATATTAGTAAGATAGACTTACCTAAATGGAAACACTTCTGACAACAAAATCCATGGAATTCCTAAGCTAGTTACGCACACTAGCGCCATTAATAATACGACTGGCAACATGTCTTTTGACTCCGGGAATGTACTCGCTTCGTACGAGAATACGGATATGGGAATCTTGATACTTGCATATACACTTATACTCAAACTGCAGATTGCTGTAGCTAGAAGCGATCCTACGACTAATTTTCTCTTCCCTATCGTCTTCACTATTACAGCGGATATTATATTCATTAAAATAAGCACAGCTCCAACTATAACCTGGAAGTAACAAAAACATTAATTATTTTTAATTCTAATGTTAGGAAACTACGAAACTATATCGGCGCAAGACTAGGCTTATTTAAATATTAACGTTCATGTCCCCTCACTAACCCATCTGACAATTCTTAGGATTCTAACTAATAATATCTAAAACTACTAATGACAACATCTTTTTTTTATAATAGATGGCGTTAGTAGTTTAATATAGTACGTTTTAATGTAATTTTAATTAATATGTTAAAAATCTCTCTTATAATTTGATTTTTTTTAATGTTACATTTGAATGTTATATTGATAAGAAAATTAAGAATATGAATATGTAAAAATACTTTATAGATTTACTAAACTAAAATACGAATAGAAAAATGGACATATTATAATTACTCTACGTGGGTTAATATAAATTATTTCTTGTACTGATAGGGTTCTGCGAAGAATTTTTAATATAACAAAAATCATGGAAGGTCGCCATTTTTTTTTAAGTTTAAGGGTATTTTATCCCTTAAATGCCAGCTTACCGTTGGATTCTGAACCCAAAACTCTGTATATAAAACATATCTTCATCCCCGTCATTATCTTTGACAAAACAGAATTAACAATATATTCCAACGGAGATTCTGATCTCAGAGACCCATGGTTAGGGTTACAGAATACTACACCTGTTAGTTAGTTAGTTTAACTTACCACGAAGGTTTTAGCGTCGTATTTCATGCCAAGAGCCTTACAAAAGTTGACCAGATTTGGTCGGACTGGGATAAGGCCACTTAAAGAATGAAATAGAAAATAAGCCATCACCAAAGTAAATGGTCTTATGGTCTCTTTGACGAAGAAAACATGTTTGAACTTTAGTATGATTTTTTCAACAAAACCGCAGTTCATGTGCTCACAGGAACCAGTTTCACTTTCTCCATCTCTAGCGCAAACTATGCATTGTTTATTGAGATCGTTATATCTAAGAAGTTCTTCAAACTCCTCCTTAACATCTTCCGGCTTCACCCAACCTCTTAGACGACATAGCGAATTCAACGCGTCTTTTTGGCGACCTTTTGATAACAGCCAAATTGGTGTTTCAGGTACCTGAAAATTTAAATTAAAGATTTTTTACACAATTATAAATTAAAGATTAAAAACATCGAGTGACACCTCTTTAAAGTCGGTTAACCGGAACCGGAAGTCACAATATAACGGATATACTAATTACAAAAGCACAGTAGCATCCGCCAGAATTAGTCCAACTGTAAAACCATAAATGGTTAAGTCTCTTATACGCCTTAAATTATTAGATTTCTCTTGTTGTAAAATTATAGAGCTGGTATTTAAACTTTCCTGGTTTTTACTATAATAACATTCGTAAGAAACGGGAGAAGTCAACCCGTAATCATGCCGCATGTATGCCGAAATATTGGGAGCTCAAACAACTAAATCGTGGTAAGAATCCCGTTGCTTAGGAATGTTATTATAGGGCTGGTAGCCTGCAGTTATTTTTTATTTGATCAAAAACATTAACAACACTTTAATTCTTTATTTGAATGTTTTATAATATAAAAATATATTTACCAATAATACGAGAGCCATAGTTGCTAACGGTACAGAAAGCGACACAAGTGCTGCCTGTCTCCAAGGCAACACAGTGCCCAGTAAGTACGCAACGAACATTCCCGCTGATGTGAAACCATTTGTCAATGTTGTAAGACATCCTCGGATTGATGGATCACTGAAATTGAATAAATATAAAATTAAGATTTTCTATTTTTAAAACTCAATAATTTAGTTTTTTTGTCATACATTTAAGTAAAATATACAGATATACAAATATTCAAACATACAACACTTATCATTCGGATGAGAATAATTATTTAAAATTCGCAATAGAATTTGATTGAATTTAAGATAAAAATACGCTGTTTTTTAAAAATTTCAATTATCAAAAGTAATTGAATTATAATAATAAAACACTTTAGTACTAAATTAGTAACCATACTTTTCTACCGGCCATGAATATAAAATGTCAAATTTGAATTCAGTCCTGGTCATTCTAAAAAACTTTAGTTGATAAAGCGAGCAACATAGGCAATTAAGTGCTATCCGATCTAAATTTATAATTTTTGTCGTGTGTTAGGCTTTTTTTTTTTAATTTAAAATAGTTTTTTTTTGTAAAAAAAAAAGCGGTTTCTATCAAAGAAACCATAAAATAACAATTCAATAATGTTAATTTTAATTTATTTCCTACTTGATGTAGGTTTTTTTTAATATCGTAAGTTGACCTATTAGG